GAGAAGAGCCTTCAGTTACTCACTTTTTCTCCTTCCCTGCTGCGGTCCTTCTTCCCAGCTTTTGTTTTTTCTCTTACTTGGCTTTTTTCTTTTAACTTTTATTAATGGATTAATGAATGGCTTATGACCAGGTTGCAAAATACAGCCTTTTCTCAATGCTGTGGGATGGTGTTCCGTGACAGCTGGCTACATTTAAAGATCTCCTGTGTGAATACCACTGAAGATATAAAATTGGTCATGCCAGTATCTTCTCTTTAATGACCCGCAGAAGGCGTGATTTCTTTGTTTAAAATGTCTAAGAAGAAATGTGTGCTCATCTCCTGTGAGCCAAGAGGATGTCCTTTTGCAGGGGCGGTTGAGAACGCTGCTTGATCCCGCATGGCTGGGACTTAGGAAATACAGCGACTGCCTTCTTGCCCTGCCACCCTCAGCTGCTGCTCACCTAGATCTAGGTTCCACTCAGTGGCTCACCTCGAGCAAGACTGGCAATAGGACAGAGCAGCCGGCCCTCACAGCACTGTCCTCTCTACTCGCTGGGCTGGGAGCCTCCACTGCCAGGCCACACGCTCTCCACCCTTGGTTATCTGAGTGTGAGTGGAGGGAGGGAGGGAGGGAGGGAGGAAGGGACAGAGACGGAGACAGAGACAGACTAGGAATAGGGATAGATTTTTTTTTTTCTTTTTTGTATCAGGAATTGAACTCAGGGCCTCATGCTTATGCCACTGAGCTGTATCCCCAGCCCCTAACTGCATATACGTAAGTGATGGAAAGCTACTCTGCTTCTTCCAGACCTTGATGCTTCTTAAAATGTCCTGGATGCCTGTAGCCATGCACAGCTGCTCCCATGCTCTAGGGAGCACAGCAAGGAGCGAGACACACGGAGTCCCTCCATGGTTCTTTGCTTGCAAGTATCTGAATCTTGGTTTCCTTGCTGTCCTCAAGCTTCCAGTGCTTCGCTCCAGGCTGTGGGGAGGAGCAGTTGTGAACGCAGCGGGATGCCCTTGACTCCCGCACTCGCAGCCAGTTCTAAGCTGCTGCCACTTTCTCCAGGACTCCCGCAGGACTCTGTTCTGTCCTCACTGTTCCCTACTGTGGTACATAACATGGGAGGTTCTGGGCTTTGGCTCTTCTAGTGTACTTCAGATAGGCAGTGAGTAGAACACGCTGGGGATGGTTATTGCTTCATTTTGAGGTGGGGTTGTTTTTGTTTGGCTTTTTTTGTTTTGTTTTTGTTTTTGTACTGGGGATCAAACTCAGGACCTTGCACTTGCCAGGCAGGTGCTTATCCTGCTGAGCTGTCTGCCTGGCCCTTGTTTTTGTTTTTTTCTTTGTTTGTTTTTGGGATAGGGTCTCACTATATAGGCCAAGCCGGCCTCAAGTTTACAGTGGTCCTCTTGCCTCAGCCTCCTGAGCACTGGGATAATCGATGTGCATCACTGTGTCTGGCTAATTATTTAATTTTTAAACATCTGACTATCCTGGTAGGAACCAAGCAATAAAATCTAAATATGCTACTCAAAACTATCTGAAAAAAAAAAAAACACTCAAAATTTAAGGGGCCGGGGAAGGGCCTGAGTTCAATCCCCAGTTCCACCAAAAATAAATAACAACAACAAAAAAACCCTCCAAATTATCTGCAGCACTGCTGCTAGTGCTTCCCCTCCTACAACCGAGAGCAGTTCCATTTCTCTGCCTTCTGTACTTGAAAGATAGTTTTGAAGACTTGAAAGTTAATTTTTATAAGACATTTGATATTTTTATAAGCATTTGATATTTTATTACTTCGCATTTTTATTGTTTTGTAGATGGTTTCTGCAAAGACTTCAGACTCTACATTTTTAAGAAATACTCAAAGAGGCAGTGCTAGCATAGTATATTGTACAGCAGAATCAGTTTTTCTCCCCCAAACTGGCTTTTATGGGATATTTTTGTCACCCTAAAAAAAGAATCAATAATAAAAATATAAAAACTCAACAATAAATTTTGTATTGACTTAAGATATTTAAGAATCCATTTTGTAAATATTTTAATGTTCAAATATATTAAGCAGCCAGCAGGTTTGGATTCTGTAGAGAATATGTGTTATGAAGTTGGTTAGGGCCGTTGTAGGAATTTAAAAGTTAATCTTGTATTTATGGTTTTACTTAATCCTTTATTTCAAGATATATGCTGCTGGGCATGGTGGCACAGGCCTGTAATCCCAGCACTCGGAAGGCTGAGGCAGAAGGACCACTGTGAGTTCAAGGCCCGCCTGGGCTACAGAGGGAAACCTTGTCTCAAAAAAGAAGAAAATATCTATACTAAGCACTAAATTTCTTTTTCTTCATTCATAATCTATATTAGAAAATAACAACCTTGGGGGGCCAGGGAGATGGTTCAGTAGAATAAGCACTTCCCTGACAAGTGCAAGGGCCTGAGTTCAATCCCCGGTTCCACCAAAAAAAAAAAAAAAAGAAAAGAAAAGAAAAGAAAAAATAACCTTTTATTAATCATACATACCATGCCTCACATGTTTACTGTAGCATTGTTCATAATAACTAAATCTTGGAAGCAGCCTGTGTATTCATCAGCAGATGAATAGACAAAGAAATTGTGGTATTTACCCACAAGGGGTGCTACTCTGTCAAAAAGAGAAATCAGCTTGATGTGTTTTACGATTTGTGGGAGATGGCTGTGTGTCAGCTTGTGCAGGGGCGACGGCCGTGGCCATGGTTCTCACTCAATGTGGAATTTGTCAAGAGAAGCAAAATTTTGCAGAAAGCTTTTGTTTGGGAACCAAGTTATTTGCAAATGGAAGTGTTGGTGCCGAAGGTCATGCTCTGTGTGTGTATATGTGTGTATACACGTATACACCCACACAGGTTTAGTGCTCATAAGACCCATAAGGCTATTGGCAGTCACCCCTGCTTTTGGACCAGGACTTTGAGGCCCAGGTAGGCTAAAGCACTTGCCCAGTATCCTGTAGTTGATAAGAATGTAAAATGGACTTTTTTTTACCATAATTTTATTGATAAACAAATAGCAATGAGACAGTTTGAAATCAAATCGGTAGGACAGTTTCAATAATTAACACAGTGCATACAATCTTCCTAGTGGTTAATTGCTGTACAAGATGCAGACTTGATATCCTATTTACAAACACCATTAGAACAAATCATTGTATTCATTAAGAGAATGTAACTATATATCTATCCTAACCACTTTGAATACACAGATACAAAAATGGACATTCATCTGTATACCCTTTTTTTTGTTAAGTTCCGTTATTTGAATATTATAGGTGTGTAAACTCAGCAAAATATTCTAAAAGAGTCCAGTAGCCCATGATAGTATTGAGTCTTCCACTTCATTGGCAATGTCAGAAATTGTTGACCTGAGTCCCCCACAGCTCAACATAACAGCATGGCTTTACTTCTTATATTTCGTTTTTATACTTTTCTGCTGGATGGTTAAGACCAAGGTAAAGCAGGACCTATGCAATGAGAGTTGTAGCTTTGGGGTCTGATAAGGTCAGTGAAATCTCCTCAGGATTTATCCTGAGATCCTGTACTTCAGATTGTAGAACCTTTGTCAGTGTCAGCCATGCGGATGAGTCACGGCCATTGCTTGGCCAGTGTGCTCTCTGTGAAAGCCTGAGAGAATGTTTTCTCTCCATGTGACTCTCCTTAGGCACACTGTACATCATCGATCACTTTCCTCTTTGGCCCCATAATCTCCTTGATCAGAAAATTTGGGAAACTACTGAGTTACATGACGTTACAGTACAAGTTCTCATATGTCCTGAATCTTAATTGACCTTAGAAGGCTAGGGCCAAAATGTTGGCTTTCCTTGCAGCCCTCCTTTTTCTCTAATTTTGGTCTGCAAACTTAGGTTGTTGGGGCCGGGGAGATGGCTCAGTGGAATAAGTGCTTCCCTGGCAAGCGCAAGGATCTCAGTTCAATCCCCAGTTCCACCAAAAAAAAAAAAAAAAAACCTTAGGTTGTTAACCATCCAGAAGACAAGCTTATTGTTATTACCATACAACTTAGGTGTTAAGCTTAACCTCACCATCTGTCTGCATATCAAACATCTTAGGCATAATATGGAACAGGTATTTTTCATCAAGTATTGGTATGTTGAACTTTAAGTCCCTACAGAATATGATAAAAAACATTTAAAAATTAGAATATATTTTAAAAATAGGCATAAAGAATTATATACTTCTTATGTTTACACATAAGTCCAAAAATCTCACCATATACAACCTTGAAGCAGGACAGTCCCACAATATTCCTTTTCCTGCCTCTTGCTTTCCTTCACCACCCCCTTCTTCTTGAACAACCACCTACCTGAGAGACATCATAGCAGCAACTGGCATGTCATGACAAGCAGCCCATATTCAGAATACCAGAATGACAGGCACTCCAAGCATGAAACTACTATTACAGATTACCATCTGCAGTGCAGTTGCTTATTTCACAGGTGTCAGTATATATAGTTAGTCAGGGTGAGAATCTTTCCAATTAACTGCTAGATTAAAAAATCTTCTGAAGATTCTCAGGATCATTGCCTTGCCCATCTTCTACATATAACTGTATGGCTTGACTTATTCATATTTCCTAGCTCTTCTCCTTTCCCTCTCTTGATTAGTTAGTCCTTGAGATTAAAATGGACTTTTAATTGAAGCAGTATAAACTCTACAGTTGACCCCTTCGTGTTGGGCTGTTCTGCTCTTCCAGCCTACCGTGTTAAGCTGAGATTAGCCAAGACAGCTGAATTTGGCTGTGTAGTCTCTTTTTACTTTTTCATGTGTGGGCTTCAATTTCCCATATTTATGGTAATGTCTGTTAAGTTCATGGAACTCCATATGCAGGAGCTATATAAATTTTATATGTAACAAGCTCTAGATGAAGCTAGTTAACAGAAAAGATGTCAGAGGAATATGATTGTGGTGTATTTCCATGCAGCTGATGAAACAGCATTCTGAAAGATTTTATTTCTTTTTGTCTCCACTTGGTAGAAAAGAGTAGTTGAACAGCTACGGAAGAACTTGATAGTAAAGCAAGAACAACCAGACAAGTTCCAAATACAGCCATTGCCACAATCTGAAAACAAACTACAAACAGCACAGCAGCAACCACTCCAGCAACTCCAGCAACAACAGCAGTACCACCACCACCACGCCCAGCAGTCAGTTGCACCCTCACCCACCTTGACTGCTTCACAGGTAAAGTACACATGCGCGGTGCAGCTCTGTAGTAGAGCCAGACCCAACACCAGCCCCACAGAACGGGATCTCGCTTGGCTGTTCTGAGCTCAGCTAGCACTAAACAAAAGTTTTTCTGATTTCTCTTTTTAAAAACTGTAACTGAAGTATAAATCTACTGAAACTCACTCACAGGAGGAAGGAACATTACAGTGAAGTAAAATCAACTTTCCACCTGTCCAAAGAAAGGTAGTGACAGACAAAAGAACATCACTGCTGTGTATTTTAGTGGCATTAAAGTCTTATTTTGAATGTCTGGAATTTCGTATTTGCAGTTGTTCTAAAAGCCAGTAGAACTTGACTTCTGGAATTGAATTGTTCTTCTGGAATTCTTAGCAGTTAGGAGTGGAGCTATTCCTCAGTCAGTGCTCTTGGAACCAGGTAGCAAAAAACAAAAACAACATTAAGAAGGGCATTATGTTTTTATTATTCCTAAAAAGAGAATTTTTTTTTTAAGTCCATAGCATTGAGAATATAAATCTATTCTGGTAAAAGTCTTAAAAGAGAGCTATGAGCTAGGCATGGTGGCCACACATCTGTAATCTCAGCATTGGGGAGGCTGACACAGGAAGATTGCTACAAGTCTGAACAGGATAGTGAGACTCTATATCTAATTAATTAAGTAAGTAATTAAAAATAAAAAACAAAGTTATAGATTACTCTTTATAAAAATATGTATTCGTGTATAATACACTTACTATTTTTATATATTTCAAGGACTATGGAGTCTTCTGAAAACTAGGTGTAGATTCATCCCACACATCTAAGGCTTCATTATGCAAAGAATAATTAATTAGATATTCATTGTTTATGGACATTGGTTTGGTTCATGTACAACACTTTCAAAGTGACCAAAAATAGCATCTAATAGTGGTTACTGTATGTCAGCGTCTCCTAATAGCTTTACAAGTGTAATGGGCACATTCCTTGCCCTAATTGTATGAGGAAAGTATTACTGTCTTTTATTTTTTAGAAGAGAACATGTGACACACCAGATCATACAGGTAGCATGTATTGGAGCCAACATATACACCCCCAATATTCTGGCTGAAAACCTGTCCGTTCATCCACCCATCTGTGCTGCCACATAGGACTGAAAAAGGAAATGCGCACGCACTGCAACCAACCAGAAAAGGGAGAGAAAACCTCTGTTGCAAATCAGATAGCTAGAGCAGTGAATAGAATTCTTACCCTATCCTTCACTCCAAGGCTATTTGAAAATTAGATATTAAGCCTGACTTTTAGAAATCCCCTGACCAAGACTTGTATTGCAAAGATTTAATATTAAAACCTGAAGGATCCTTAGGTTTTTATTGTTTGTCTTTATAGTAAACTGGAATATTTATTGACCACTCTCAGTGTGCTAGGTTCTTCTGTATAAAGAACAACAATCCTTGACAAAAATCTGGTACACTGTTAATTTTAATTCATTCTGTAAATATTTATATAGTCTTTACTATGTACAGGTTTTTGCTAGACAATAGGAAGAATAGATTCCCAAAATCTGTTTTCAATAGTTTAAAAAGGAAGAAGAGGATGCAAACTGTTAATAGTAAAATAAGAGTACCAGTGAAGAACTGTGAAGATACCAGAGGAAGAGTACTGTACTTATAATCAGAGGGATCAGAAAGTGCCTCTCAGAGGAGGCAGCATGTCAGCAGGCCTGGGCAGATGGATGGGATTTCAGTGGTGGAGCAAAGAGGAACGAGCTCACAGTGTAGAAGCAGGATGAACAAAACTATAAAGTCAGAAAAGTAAGCACATGGCTTGAGAGTAACAAGAAGGCTGGTGTGGTTGGAGCATGGATTCCATAAACTGATGGAAGAGGAAGAAATGGCCAGGAGAGGCTGGAATGGGCTGACTTGTGGGCATCTTCAATGCAGGACAAAACTTGGGGTGTTGTAGCAGTTGTAGGGAAGTAATTAAAGGTTCATAGGATGAGAATGGGTGGGAGATTACATGCATGTGGCACATCAAAATACATAACTTCAGGAAAGAAACTGTAGACTGGGCATGGTGGCGCACTCCCATAATCCCAGTGCTGGGAGGCTGAAAACAGGAGGATCACTATGAGTCCCATCTGTGTAGTGAGACCCTGAAGATCTTGTAGAATCTATACTAAATACATACTTACATACATACATACATAAATATTTTTTTAAAAAGGAAAGAAACTGTGATGTAATCAGTGTGGTACAGGAGGAGATACTGGTTAAGTGATTAGCATGTATTGAAGTGTAGAGGAAAAAAATGAAGAAATCTTTTAGCAGGGCAGGAGCAGTTCCCTTTATGTGCAGTAAGTCCCCAGCTTACACATGAATTCTGTTCTGGGAGAAACATTCATAAGGCAGATTCATTCATACCGACAAAGTAAGTCTTATACAGTACAGCTGTGAGAGTTCGCAACTTGAATTTCTGTAAGTTGGGGACTCAACTGTAGATAACTCCAACTCAATCTTGCACATATAGTATTTACAAGTTTTTCCAGTTTACAGAAAAAGCAAATAGAACACTTGGAAGCAAGCATGCATTCATAAGCTCTTTTTATTTCTTCATAAGCTCTTTTTAATGATAAAGTACAAATATAAGTAAGAGTACAGTTAATAAAACCAAACAGAAAATACACCTTCATAGGCAAAGGGTGTCTTGTACAAGAAGTCTTGTATTTGTGCTTGTTTCAGTGAACAATGGTGAGTTTCCACTCAAAATTAAGCAATCAAATAAATGAGGTTAGTTAGAACCTGTAGTAACAATCCCTCAGATCTCTGATTGGCACATTAAAATGTTATAAATAATACTTCATATTTTGCAGAGTGTCAGTAATACTTAGAAAAAAATAAAAAGAATTTGCTATTGGTATTTACCATGTGTTTCTGTGTTAACTTCACTCATGAGAGTTGGGTCTTGTCAAAATTAAACCGGAGTAACTGCTACCTTCTCTTGAAGATGATCAGACTTAGACAGCATTTGCTAGCCCAGTACTGATCACGGCTTCTGGAAGCCATTGCCTTTGCTGATGGGCTCCTTTTCTGTGTCTTTTTCCCCCTTCCTTCCAGAACCATTTAAACATTTCATCATGTTTGAATTTCCAAGTTCCAGCACTCCAGGAGTTTACTTTCAGTTTCCTAAGATTTAGAACAGAACAAACCCCAGACCAAGAGTAAAATCTTTAGTAAGCCTAGACTGGATGTCAATAAATAGTAAATAAATTCTTAAAGAGGTTTCCATGGATGCTATGTAGTTCTGTCAATGTTAGAGTAACAGTGAAGTTAGCCACAACTAAATGTTGATAAAGTAGAAAAAATTGCTAACCTAAAATGTGAACAAACTTGTTAGGTTTCAGTGTTATTTAACCATTCAATTAACAGTAAATACATAACTTAGGTGGGTTTGAGGTTTTATTCAACATTTTCTAAAACAATTAGTTTAGGATTTTTTCTTCTCTATTTTAGGGAAGGGTCTACGGTCCTGTTCACAGCCTCCCAAGAGCTGGGAATACAGGCACATGCCACCATGCCCAGTCTCAATCACTGTCTCAGCACACCCCGCATGGCAGGCCCAGGAACCTGTTTGCAAGTGCTTTAATCTGCTGAGCTGTTTGGCTGGCCCTTGGATTATCTACAATAGGAATCTTGAAACAAGAGTATTCCATCCTCTTCTAAAGAAGTCACAATAAGCACAACACTTTTTAAAATCCACATCCTTTGAGTTCTGCTGATCAGAGCTGTGTTTCTGTAACCCGTGCTAGGATCGGATTGAATGTTATCAGGTGTGGTTTACTCAAAACTTGGGAAGTTCTTTGTATTTAGCCAGGCATGGTGGCACAGGGCTACAATCCCAGCACTCTGCGAGGCTTAAGCAGGAGCATCACAAGTTCAAGTCTTGCCTGCTCAACTTAGCAACTTCATGAAACTTTTACTCAAAATGAAAAAGGACTGGAGAGGCAGCTAGCTCAGTGCATAGGCCCTGGCTTCAGTCATCAGTACTGAAAGAAAAAAGCTTTGTACTTAAACATTTTAAATTGAAAGATAGGGCTAATATCATGCTGTGTTTAAAACTCCTACTACAAATAGCTGGTATTGTACAACCCTTGCTATTATACTGCTACAGTCATTCTAATGATAAAGCTAGTTTAATTTGGTTTTCATCAGTGATAGAAAGCAGATGACCTGGGGGCCGGGGAGGTGACTCAGTAAAATAAGCACTTGCCTGGCAAGCAAAAGGGCCTGAGTTCAATCCCCGGTCCTGGAAGGAAGGAAGGAAGGAAGGAAGGAAGGAAGGAAGGAAGGAAGGAGGGAAGGAAGGAAGAAGAGAGGGAAGGGTGGGGGGAGGGGAGAGTAAGGAAGAGTTTGTTGCTTTTAAGAAGATGAAACAAATATTGGATGATGTTTATTACATCATTAATTAAGATGGCTAATTAAGCTATGATGGGCTACATGAGGCCATATCACTAAATTTTTTGGTTAAAAGAAAAATAAAAGGAGATGTTAACGTATTTATAGCTGAGTACAGTGGTAGACAGCTGTAATTGTAGCTGCTTGGGAGGCTGAGGCAGGAGGATGGCAACTTAGAGGCCAGCCTGGGCAACTTAGTGAGACTGTGTCTCTAAATAAAAAGGACCAGGAGCTGGGTGTGGTGGTGCACACCTGTAATCCCAGCTCTTGGGAGATGGAGGCAAGAGGACCACTGTGATTTTATGGCTAGCCTGGACCAGAGTGAGTTCAAGGCCAGCCTGGACTACAATATAAGACCCAGTCTCAAAAAAACAAAAACAAAAACCAAAAAAAAAAAACCCATCACACACACACACCAAAACAAAGCAGAAAATAGGAATAAAAAGGAGAGAAGGAAGAGAGGATGGAAGGATGGATAGACAGACTGGAGATGTAATTTAGTGGTGGCGTACCCTTGGGTTTGATCCCTAGGACTGGGAAAACAAAACATATGTATGTGTGTAGACAGCAGAAAAGGGAAATAATCACAACCAACCACCTAGTACACGTGTACTTACATAGACACTGAACTAGAAGTTCATAAGTGCAGCTGTCTGGGCAGCATGGTGCAGCAAGAGGGGTTTACTTTCCTCTGATCTAGAACAGGGCTGTCCCACAGAACTTGGTGCAATGTTGCCAGTGCTCAGTCTCCACTGTCCAGGTTGGCAGCTGCTGGGCACATGTGACTTACTGAACACTTGAAATATGGCCTGTACAAGATGAGGAATGGTGTTTGGATTTAATTTTGTAATTTAAATTTGAATGGCCACATGTGGCAAATAACTAGTTGTACAATACAAATAGAAAAAAAAGAAAGAATGCGGCCTCAGAATCTGCAAGGTAGACCAGGTAACTTGTCCTGCTCCTGAGATGCCTGCATTGTGAGTGACTGGTAGCACCAGATAGATGTGCATAGCAAGTCATGAGGCTGTTTCTAGTTCTTTGTTTTGTAGCTGTTACTGTAATTATTCTAGTAAAAAGTCTAGGAAAATACAGCTTCAGCGCTGTATAGCACTTAGGAGGCATCAGTCAAAGTCCTCTCCCTCCAATTCATCTTCTGATCTCCAAGGCTTTTTGAAACTCAGGTGTTTGTTTCCACCTTGTCACATTTCACTGAATCTTTGATCACTTCTGCAGGAGTTCTCTAGAGAAAAGATTACAAGGAATGACTCAGGCCTTTGGTATGAAGAAGGGGTATTTCCCATACTAGTTGGTTAATATGTTTCATTATCTGGAGCTTGGGATTTACTGCTTCTGAGGCAGCACTTGTGCTAATCCTCATGTGAGTTTCCCTTCCGCTTCTCCAGGGTAACACTCAAAAAAGTGAAGAGACACTGTCCCTTCCCCCTGTGTCACCCAACAGGCAGATAAATAGAATTCTTTGATGGTTTTCTTCATACTAGTGAGGTTGTAGCAATTAAAAATAGAAATAGAGATGATGTATACCTCACTGATTTGCATATCAATTATGTCAAACAGAGTATGAGAAAAACTAGAAGAAATTATGTTCATAGTCTGTCTCTAAGCCCACTCTGTTCATCTGTTGGGGAACCCTCTGCCCAACCTGCTGCAGTCACTACAGTGAACTCACCCACATAGAAATGACACCGATTGAGAATGCTAGTAAGCCAAAGATTATCTTTTTCCTATAGTAAGAAGTACGCTCTAAGTACACAAAAGAGATGTGCTTATATAGAGAAACTTAATTGACTGTGAAAATTATTGCTTTGTTTTGTTCTGGAGTTCAGCAGCATATTGTTTAGTGGGGTCACATTTCTGTGTCCTAATATCTGTTCTCCATGTCTCCTAGAAGACTGTAACTACAGCTTCTATGATTACCACAAAGACACTACCTCTCGTCTTGAAAGCAGCAACTGCGACCATGCCTGCCTCTGTTGTGGGCCAGAGACCTACCATTGCTATGGTGACCGCCATCAACAGTCAGAAGGCTGTGCTCAGCACTGATGTGCAGAACACACCAGTCAACCTCCAGACGTCTAGTAAGGTCACTGGGCCTGGGGCAGAGGCTGTCCAAATTGTGGCAAAAAACACAGTCACTCTGGTAAGCCAGCAGCTGCTACTTGTGCCCACATGAGAGGGTTCAGGATGTGCATCTGTACAGTGTAGCCATTGTAGGTCCCTGCTGGATTTCTCAGTTCTCGTCATTCTTCAGGTGTACCATGTTCCCTTTGGGCCTGACAAGGCAATATAGCATTCCTGTCTGCCCAGTTAACCATAAGAGGTGTCCTGATGCAGGGACCAAATTCAGTGCATTATCTGCATTCAAAATACAGCTTGATTTCCTTCACTCACCTCTCCTTCTACCCTCTCCGCTGTCCTTCCTGTGAAGCCTGAGTGTTTAAACTCTTACACTGTATTGCTGCTTTGGGAGCAGACTCTTTCCTACATTCCTACACTCTTGTAGTTCACTATCCCTTTACACTGAATGCCACCAAGAAGTACTGGTTTTTGGTTGAGACACTTGGAAAATAGTCAAGAAACTCACAAATTAATCTATGAGTGGCTAGTTTCTATCAGAAAAAAATTCCCTTGAAGAAAGTACTTAAATGAGAATTGTGTATTAGATTTCTAGGATTGAGCCATTTTAGAACTGATGTTCCTTCAAACTTGAGGAAACTATATCCAGATAGGATATAAAAATCCTCCTAACAGAGCAGCTAAGAGCTGTTGGTGGCTTTTCAGTAATGACTAACAGTGACTTAAACTGGAGGGCAGCAAAGTGAAGCATAGTCACTTCCCAGGAATCCTTAGAGAAGCAACCTGATCACTTAGTCACTGAGGGAAAGTCCACTATGGGAATAAGACCATTCACTGTTGGCTAAAGGGCCCAGCTCAGGAGAAAGCCCAGTTAGCTAGGCACCAGTTTGATTTTACTTTGGATCCTGTCTTGGCTTTTCAAAGATATAAGCATGTGAGGTCTCGGGTGTTGCAGGAATAGTCTAAGATCTCTGAGCCTGTTGAGTGAGGAAACAAGTATGGTTGGCTTGTGGGGCAAAGCAGGTAGGTAGGAGGGAAAAGTTCCAAATGGTGTGTTAGTTCAAGTAGTTAACTCTACAGTGAAAGCTTGGAGACAGTGTTGTCTGATGTGGAAAATGCTGGAATACTGAGAATACTGTAAGAATGTTGAACTTTGCTAGTGAACTATCCTCATCCTGATTTCTCTTCCCTTTTGTTTAGCAGGTCCAGGCAACACCTCCTCAGCCCATCAAAGTTCCACAGTTTATCCCTCCTCCTAGACTCACTCCGCGTCCAAACTTTCTTCCCCAGGTGAGTAAGCTGAGAGAAGCCCAAGGTGGGCAGGCAGTACCGAAATCCTCCCAGGCCTTCTGAGGGCATCCTGGAAGCAGGCGCACCAGTTCCGCTGTATTCAGAGCCCACTTAGCCACAGGTTCTGCCAACCAGTTTGTCTTTGAGGAGGAAGCTTATTCTATCATTGTGGTTTGTCAGCAGTGACCAAAGGCAATAGCAGGGGGAAGTGAAGGGAAAAGACTCTACTAAATGTAAAGCAATCACAGTAACAATATTATAACCCTTACGAAGTTAATTTGCTGGAAGAATGTACCAGAACCTGCCTGGGAATGGGGAAAGAATGCAGTTACCACTTTTTTTCATTTCTTTTCTCGTACCAAGAAGAGTAGGGAAGAGAACAACAGTCAGATTAACCGATAGGAACCACTCAGTTCTGCTCTGGGAAGCTGTGCTATTGAGCATCAGGCTTAAAAGTAAATCTTGCCTGCAGAGGCTCAGGATGGCGGTCTTCATAGAGAGCTCCTCTCGGCTCCAGCAGCCGGCTCACATCTGTTTCCCTCCGTGTGCTCCTAAAACTGAGGCTGGCCTGCACCCTTGTCAAGGCAGAAGCCAGGATTGTCCTCACATTGGAGCTGTGCGATATTGACTTGCTCGGTAGAGAGGCTAAGAGTTACTATCTGCAGCTCTATGTTTTACGCAAAGAAAAGAGAAAGGATTTGGGGCTCCTTGGTGCAGTGTATTGCTTCTTGGGAGGGGATGGACAGTGCTAACATGAGATATCAGGCATATCTTTAGTAAAAACCTAGGGCAGCAAGTACCATATTAAGCACTGCAGTTGTGCTTTCTGCCCTCAGTGCACCTGAGGCAGTTATAGGGCCTCCCGTGTGTGTACAGAGTAGACTGGGGCGGACACAGTGCCCATTCCTTAGTGTATTAGAGTTTCCTCAAGATTTCCTTGAAGAGTTAGTATTCAGTCTGAGACCTAAAAGCCTCATAAAATTTGCCTTAAAAAGTTTGGAGGGGCCAGGGAGATGGCTCAGTGGAGTAAGCGCTTCCCTGGCAAGCTCAAGGACCTGAGTTCAATCCCCAGTTCCAAAAAAAAAAAAAAAAAAAAAAAAAGTTTGGAGGGAGCATTCCAGAACTGTCCTCTATAGAAGGCAGAAAGCCCATGTGTATGGAGTGGAGAGAGGTGTGGAAGTCCAAGATAGATTTGCTGCAGCTGAGCACTTGGCTGCCTGGAGGGAGGAGACCAGCGAAGAGGCCAGAGCTGCACATGTCTTGGCAGTGGGGACCCAGGAAAATGTCTCTTAAGTGAGAATTTAACTTGCCAGACCTATACCTTAGTTCTGTCTTGCCACCATGCAAAGAATAGGTTAGGGATGGTCAAGACTGTGGGCAAGAGGAGCAGGTGAAGCATTGACAATCATAGCTAAGGTTTGGAGAACCTTGCTGAATACCAGATACCATGCTAGGTGCAGAACTTTACATGGGTTGTCCATTTGAATGCTCATAATAACTCTATGAAAGTAGGCATGACTTTTTTTTAGGTAAGGAATCTTAGGTTTAGTCTTTGTTTTTCAAATAGTGAGTCATAACCCATTAGCAGTCTATAAAATCAGTTTGGAGTTTGCTGGTCCATACTATGGACTTTATTTCATTAAAAAAAAAAAAAACTTGTTTTATAGACATGTATCAGCATGAGGCCAAAGTAAGTTAAGCTAAATTTTCAAGCTCACGAGAGTATCATGGACCACACTTTTTTTTTTTAAATTTTATTTATTTATGTGTGTGTGTGTGTGTGTGTGTGTGTGTGTCCAGCTCAGCCCACCAGGGGGCGGGGCGGGCTGGCATGTGGGGCTGGGGGATTGAACCGTGGTCCCTGTGCTTTGCTACAGCTTGTTCTAAGTAGGTGCTTTAGACCACTGAGCCATCTCACCAGCCCCCATGGGCCACACTTGACACCAATCTACTTGGAAATGATACAGGCAGAAACCACAGCTTGCCAGGAAGACTGTATCAGACAATTTTCTTCAGTAGATATCCTACCGCAGCACACTCAGTAGCCTCTATAGTTTTCTAGAGATACCTTAGGTTCAGGGAAATAAGACTTAGGATGGTGGGAGAATCACTCATCTATAGAAGCCTTGTGCACTTCAAAACCAATATGTATTGTGATAGGTCTTCAAGTATGACATTTAAGATCTCCGCAAGGGACATACCCAGGTACAATAGTGACCTCGCTTAGTGAAGCTGAAGCTCAATATCCTCTCGTATTTAGGGTTCTCCCCATTCAGATTCAATTTAATGACTTCTTGTTGATTTAGCAGTGACAATTTTTTCTTTTAATCATGTGTGCCTGGTAACAGTTATGTTCTTTACCTTTATTGGGTTTCAAGGGTAACAGAGCTACAAAGGTAGCCAGGGGTCAAATTCTTGTGCATAGGCAAAAGGATTTTTACCCATAGGGTCACAGTTTTAAAAATATTGATTTAGATAGATGAGGTGTGCTGCCTGAGATTCCATGCTTATAAGTGTTAGAAACAGGATTTTTGAACCTAGGGAAGACTGACATCATTTTTGGTTTCATTTTTGTTTTTCAGAGAGGGTCTTGCTGCATAGCCTTGAATTTACTGTGTAGCTCATGCTGTCCTTGGTCTCTACAGTTTTACCTTCTAACTCCCTGTGCTTGGTTCTCCTGGGTCTCCTCTTGGCTTTACGCATCCTGTGCCCAATCTTAAAGGTGGCTATGTCTCAAGAGTCTATCAAAAAAGACCCCCCACCAAAAAAAGAAAGAGGAAGGAATTGGTGTGTCTGAAACACGGTTGACTGTGAACTTCTTGTGAGCTGTCCAGTAGAGATGTCTGACAGCAGTCGCATGTGATCCTAAAGTTTGAGGGATGTCTCTGTTCCTGAGAAGGGTATACACGTCTTTAGTACAGATGGTAACAAAAGCTACAGGACAGATAAGAGATGCCAGGAAGAGTAAGGCTGGTGAGGAAAAGAGGGCTTCTAAGACAGAGTCCTGAGCAATAGCCATATTTAAGATTGGGCAGAGGTACTAGGGAGATGGCTCAGTAGAATAAGCGATTGCCTGGCAAGTGCAAAGGCCTGAGTTCAATCCCTGGTTCTGAAAAAAAAAAAAAAAAAAAAAAAAAAAAGATTGGGCAGAGGAACCGTAAACCCATAGAAGAGACAAAGGGGGAGCCAAATATAGGGAGTTAGAGAGCCAACTGTAGCTGTGGACATGGAGAAACTGGTCGCTCTGTCACCATTCTGGGCACAAGTTCTGGGTGGGACAGTGCATCAGCCTCTCACCCTCTGCCTGAAGAGGTGGTATATGGTATATGAGAAGGACTTGCAGCATTAGACTGGGAGGTCCTACGTCAGGATAGCATTTGGATTCCCTTAGTGCTAATGAGCCTTTTGTACCATTATATGTTCTGAAATCTGTAGAATTAATAATGCTAAATGACTATTAATACGCAATTATATTAAATACTGTCACATACATAGTGTGTGGAAGATATACCATACTGTAGACCTGTAAGACTTGAGAAATGTATTTAAATAATATAATAATTACTCTTTCTTTCCTCTACAGGTTCGACCCAAGCCTGTGGCCCAGAATAACATTCCCATCGCCCCAGCACCTCCGCCTATGCTTGCAGCTCCTCAGCTTATCCAGAGGCCTGTCATGCTGACCAAGTTCACCCCCACGACCCTCCCTACATCCCAGAATTCCATTCATCCTGTCCGGGTCGTCAATGGGCAGACTGCAACCATAGCCAAAACATTCCCCATGGCCCAGCTCACCAGCATTGTGATAGCTGCTCCAGGGACCAGACTCGCTGGACCTCAGACTGTACAGCTTAGCAAGCCAAGCCTTGAAAAACAGGTATGAGGAGAGCACATGCCTGCTGCAGGCAGTGCCCTGCGGTGGTGACTGTTGGGCTCCCCAGGCTTTTCATCTGAGAAACATTGCTGGGAACCTGTTGATTATGTGGTAAATCGCCCACGTGCAGAAAGGCTCCTGTCACTGAAGAAAGTTGAAGTATTTTCCCACCATCCCCTTAGATATGGCTTCAGAGTCTTGTGTGAATGAGCTCCCCCTGCTGGCTTCGAGGCAGAAATTCAGAGCCGGGCTGGGCTTCACCTCGCTAAGGAAGCACTGATGTAGTAAACAGAAAACGCCATGTTAGTTTTGGCCCAATAAGAATCCAGATGAGGATGTGACTGTGAACGGCAGGAGGAATAAACAAACAGGGAAAGGAATTTCATTTCAAAGATTTTTCCTTGATCATTGCAGATGACATGTAGCCAGGCTAAAAATTTAAGTCATTCTTTTCACCGTTGAAGGTGCAGACATGTTACCTCAAATATTAAAACCATCCACTTAAACTTCTGAAGTCAGATTTTTCTCTTTAACAAACTAGAGTTTAAAAAGCCCTTAGAATTTTATAAAGAAAATCACCCTCAGCCAGGCATGGTGGTGCACATCTGTAATCCTAGCACTCCAGAAACTAAGGTGTGATCACCACAAGTTCTAGGCCAGCTTGGGCATGAGTTGAAGGCCAGCCTGGAATACATAGTAAGATTCTTTTCCAAAAAAACAAAAGAGAAAAAGGAGAAGAAAAGCGTCCTCTTTCAAGAAAGTTGCTTTAAAAAGTCATTGACCGGGGCTGGTGAGATGGCTCAGTGGTCTAAAGCACCTACTTAGAACAAGCTTAGCAAAGCACAGGGACCGCGGTTCAATCCCCCAGCACCACATGCCAGCCAGCTCCGCCCCCTGGTGGGCTGAGCTGGCCACACACACACACACACACACACACACACACACACACTAAATGTAAAATAAATAAAATAAATTTAAAAAAAAAAAAAGTCATTGACCAAGGCTGAGCATTGTGATGCACATCTGTGATACCAGCACTCAGGAGGTTGAGGTAGGAGGATTGCTGGGAGTTTGAGGCGAGCCTGGGCTGCATAATGATTTCAAGGCCAGCCTAGACTGCATAGTGAGACCCTGTCTCAAAAATAAAAAGGCACTGGCCTATTTCTAGTGCTCAGGCTCATCTTGCCCTAGCAGCCTCTGGTGGTCTCAGTCTCCTGCCCCTGCACAACAGAGCACAATTTCCAGAGGCTAGCCTTGTGGGGAATGGCCAGCTTCTTGAACAGAGGAACCTTCCTCATAAAGCATCATGCCTGTCTACAGGCAGCTCCTCAGTGCAGCGGACCTTCTACTCACAGCAGCTGGCCATCAGGATCCTGCACACGGGGGTCACAAGGGACAATCTGTTACTATTCCAGGGGTGCCTGCACAAACCCCAACAAGTCCTTGAGGAACATTTAAAATCAATTATTTACTCATATTTTAGACCAGAAGTTCCCAGACCTATTGGCAGCAGAACTTCGGTATGATATACTGATACTCAAGCGTCTGAGCTTGGGGCGAGTGTGGAGACCACCCGCTCTCCTGTTCTGTACTGCTCCATCATTCAGGCAGAGCCTTTGTTTCACGACACCATTTTGGGCCACTAGGTAGTATTTCTCTTTGACTTTCTTTACACATCAACACAAAATGTTTTCAGTTTCTTTTTTTTTTTTTTTTCTGATGACAAAGATAGTATAGGTTCATTTTAAAATGCACACTACAAAAATATAAATTGTAGAAAGTGCTCTCTTCCTCCTACCCTATAAATTCTCCTGTTTATTTTATTCCCAAGAATTAATTTCTATGAACAGTTTTGATTATATTCCTTCAGGTATTTTTTGCATATGTGCTGACATTTTTTTAACCCAAAACTCAAATCAAATTGCATTAGTTTTTACTTGCTCTTTTCCTGCTCAGTAGAACTTGAGCATCTTTTCATGTTTCTGCCTTATATGTTGAGGGTTTTATTTTAATTTTATTATCACAATAAGATATCCATGTTAAAATGTTTTTATTTTATACCAGTAACTTCCATGGTATGTCTTCTTTTTGCTGTAATAGAGGAATCCAGTCATTGCTATTTTTGTTTGGCAGCCCACCTATCTAACAGTCTTCTAGATTACCAAGCCAGGCAGCAGGGGCTTTCTTTAGACTGGATTCTACCACTTTCAGAATTCTTCTACTTCTGATCTTCCTACTGCCTTTTTCTTTTATGTTTCACATACAGTATCACTTTTGTAGCCACTAAGAGATCTCATAGGTGGGCTAAGAGTAAAGCTGTGGAAGTATCACTTATCACCTGCATGGCCAGACAAGCTGGGTCTCCCTCTGCCCATGTGTTTCCTTTAGGATGATAACATTCATTTAATAAAAATGTGTTGGTTAAGCGCCAGCTGCTTTGCTGCTTGTGGTATCTGTGTACAGAGATAAGTGAATCAGAGCCTACATCCTCAAGAAGCTCAGTCTAGTGCCCTGGGACCCGGTACCAAGGCTCTGCAGGGAAGGAAGCTGGGCCGGTGCTGTGGGCTTCCCACATGGCTTGCAGAGGAAGAGGAGACAGCAGTGCCATAACACCAACAGGGACTCATTTCTTCCTGCCAGGCATACGCAGCTTCCTTATCCATCCCAGAAAAGAACTTCTCTGCCTTATACCTTACTAGAAGCCACATTACATTTTGGCTGAGAGAGTAAGTGAAAGAGTTGAAAGAGCTTTGAGACTAAGAATATGTGGGCATACCTTAGAGATATTGTGTGTTCAGTTCCAGAGGAGATATGGCAATAAAACTAGTCATGTGGCTCTTTTGCTTTCCTAGTACACATAGAAGTTGTATTCATACTCGACTATGGTCTAAGTGTACAGTAGCATTACTGTGGTCTAAGTGTACAATAGCATTACATGTAAAAAAGGCACATAGCTTAATTTGAAAGATCTTTATTGCTTTAAAAAATGCTGACAGTCATCAGAGCCTTCAGCAAGTGATAATCTTTTTGCTGGTGGGCTTCTTTCTTAGATGTTGATGACTAATGACTGGAGGGCTGGTTGCTAAAAGTTAGGATGTCTGTAGCAGTTTCTTAGAAGAAGACAACCATGCAGTTGGCTCCATCAATTGCTTTTCTTTCAAGCACTATTTCTCTGTACCACGCCATACTGTTTGATAGCGTCTTACAGTCAAAATCGGAATCAGTGCCTTTCACCCCTACTATTGTGTTATCAACTAGGTTTATATACTGCTGTCTAATCCTTTGTTGTCACCCAACAATGTTTGTAGCATTTTCACCAGTGGATCCATGTCAAGGAACCATTCTTTGCTCACTGTCTGTCTGCTGCAGCTGTGTCCTGAGACCGTGTGCATTCAGCAGCCGTCTCTAGGCTCTAATGCCACTCCTCTTGCTTTCCTGCACATCTGCAGTTAGCTCCTGTGCTCAGGTCACGAATGCCTCAGGCATCGATGAGGTCGGACTCAAGGTCTTTGCAGGTTGTGTTGAAGTCAGTGTTTTGCCTTCCCCTTGACTCCCAAATGGTTGTTATGGCATCTAGAATGGTGAAGACTTTCCACTGACATTGCCCAGTCCATCTGAAGACTCACCATGTGTGGTGTCAGTGATGCAATGTGAAAACTCAGAATCATTCCTTGGTCTGTGGGCTCCAGCATGGTGTCGTGTCAACAATCTCATTTTGTACCACGGGAGTCCTGGGGTGATCAGGTGTGTTTCAGTGAGCTGTGGTGTTGGAGAGGGGTCTTGTTCTGAGCAGCAGGGCTCAGCAGTGGGCTTGACATGTGCTCTAGCCAGGTCATGAACAGAGGTGCTGTCATCTAAGCTGTGTTAGCGTGGCTCCCCCCGGCCCCAAGCTGGAGAGCGAACCCAGGCCATTTGCTCTGAGCTACATCCCCAGCCTTTTGTGTTTTGAGACAGGGTCTCACTAAATTACCCAGACTTGCTTGGACCTTGCAATCCTCCTGTCTCACCCTCCCAATAATATGATTCTTTTTTTTTTTTTTTATTTTTCAGAACCGGGGGTTGAACTCAGGCCCTTGTGCTTGCCAAGCAAGCGCTTATTCTACTAAGCCATCTCCCCAGCCCCTCCAATGGTATGATAATGAAGAACCCTAGGATTTTCAGAATGATAAATAAGCACTGGATTCAATTTTGAGCCACCAGCTTCATTCTCCCCTAACAAGAGAGACTGATGTTTATTTGTTTATTTGTTGGTTTGGTTTGGGTTTTTTTGAGACGGGGAGCCACTTTGTAGTACAGGCTGGCCTTGAATTTGCTTATGTAGCTAAGACTGGCTTCCCACTCATGGTGATCCTCTTGCCTCAGCCTCCCAAGTGCTGGGATTAGAGGCATGCACCACCAAGTCCCGTCCCCACACTGTCCTTTGGATCCAGGCATTGACTTCTCTCTGTAAAAGTTCTAGAATGCTTCTTCCAATGGAAGGCTATTTCTCCTATACTGAAAATCTGTTCTTGAGGGTAGGCAACTTTCTATACCAGCACCTGCTGCTTCACCTTGCACTTTCATATTACAGAGATGGCTTCTTCCATTCAACCTTATGAGCCAACCAGTGTCAACTGCAGGCTTTGTTCTACGGCTTCCTCACTTCTGTGAGCCTTCACAGAACTGAAAAGACTTGAAGCCTTCCTCTGAGTTAAACTTTGACTTCAGGGCATTGTGACTGGTTTGATCTTCTATCCAAATCACCACAGTTCTGTATCAGTAGTGAGACTGGATTTCCTGTAATTTGTACAATCACTGGCGAAGCACTTGGAACTTTATTGAAGAACTTTCCTTTTGTACTCACAACTTGGTGAACTGGCACCAGAGGCCTAGCCCGCCTGAGCTTTCAGCATGCCTTCCTCACTCAGCTCAGTCACATATGGCTTTTGGGTTAAAGCGAGAGAATTGTGATTCTTCCTTTCACTTAAGCCCTTAGTAGCCTTTGATGTATCTTAGGGAGTAGG